TCTCACCGCCCCTGATCATCTCTCACATCAATGTTTCTTTCTCTCTCTCTCTCTCTCTCTCTCTGGAAAGCAGTGGGAAAAATATTCTCGGGTGAGGCTTAACAAACAAAAAGGAGAGAGAGAGAGGATTTGGATGTCCTGGCCTGAGAAGCCCAAGGTCAGTGTGGCTGAGCAGAGGCTAGACAAGCACCTACCCAGAATGCCTCACTCACTCAGCACGGATGCAGTTAGTGCCTCGCAGGAGCCGGCATCGCTGCCAAGCCCACCACCACACCCTCGTTCTGGCTTCCTTAAGGCACTCACACGACCGAGTTCTTTGATGTCCTTTTCCCACACCCTCCCCACTAGATCATGAGCCCATGAGCTCAGGGACCTCGTCTGCTTTGTTCTTGCAAATCCCGTGCCCAGCCCAGGGCCTGACTCCGCGGGTGCTCAGTGCATGTCTGCCAGCAACCACCCTGGGTGCTCACCTGGGAAATATGTATCTAATAGAACCCGCTGGAGAGTGAGAGTTCCAGGACAAGGGGAGGGCTTAGGGAGAGGAGGGAGCCCGCGGTGAGGCATCCTCTCGGGGAAGAGGGGAGGGAGCCCGAGGCGAGAGACCGTTTTTGTAAGATTGTTCGCTGGCTGGAGAGAAGCAACATTGCTTCCCCTCCCCTCTGGCGCCTGCCTGGCTCAGCCGAGTTGAGCCAAAGTCTGAGCAATGCTCACTCAGAACCACACGCCCCCACCCCGTTTACCTTCTATTATTTTATTTTAATACTAGAGGCCCGATGCACGAAATCCATGCAAGCGGCTTGGCCCTCGCAGCCCCGGCTTCATCCAGAAGGTTGTCAGGGACTCTGCTGTTCGGTCTAATTTGCATATTAGCTCTTTATTATATAGTATAAATAAATAAATTGGGCCACAGAATACGCATTGTGGACACAGCATTGTATAAAGATTAAAACTGTTGCTAGAGTACTGGTTGGTGTGTCTCAGTTGGTTGAACATCGTTCTGAGCACCAAAAGGTTGTGCATTCAATTTCCAGTAAGGGCACATGCCCAGATTGTGTGCTTGATCCCCAGAAAGGGGCT